CTGAAGGACACAACCAACCATCAGGAGGTGAATCACTATTAAATAAACCACCACAAACTGATTTACTGAATAAACATGAGCACTAAATCAGAATATTTAACATGAATATTTGTGTTAGGGCTGATGTCGCCTGATGCTTTGGCCTGGGTCTGCTGCTGACTGCATGTGCACTTGCTGTTGATGTATTATTAGTAACAACAGGGGGCGACTCTGAGTAACAGTCTCGCTCAAACACTGGTGCAGCAGTAGTCAGTGAGCGGAGCTGCCAAATGAATGAAGAGGTTGTGGATAATGTTGGAGGACACTCGTGAAGATGTTTGCTTTTAACTCAGTTGTTTAAATGGGAAACTTGTGCTATATTTCATATAATAATGAGTCCAGATGTTCCACGATTAAGCAAAGTCTTTGATTAAAACAGCACAGAGAGTGTCGAGGCTCCGCTGATCCTCCAGTACACAGACATCACTTCCACACTAAGCAGCTTTATTTGAGTAAACGCTGATTCTTACTGAAAGTTCAAAGTCTGAATCCAACACAAAATCTGCAGGAGGACATTTCAGAGCAGCGTCGTCTAGGCACGGAACGATAACCGTGCTCAAGGTTTGGGAAGATCAGGGTTTTAAAACAGTCAACATTTTCTGCTATACCGTTCCTGAGATATGAGTTAGGGCTGCTCGATTTTAAAACAATTCATAATCACGATAATTTTGGTCATAATTGTAATCACGATTATTCAAAATGATTATCAGTTGAAGTCAAAATTATTAGCGCTCCTGAGAATTATTATATTTTAAATAAATATTTCCCAAATGATGTTTAACAGAGCAAGGAATTTTCACAGTATTTCCTATAATGTTTATTTTATTTTTGTAGAAAGGCTGATTTGTTTTGTTTTATTTCGGCTAGAATAAAAGCAGGTTTAAATATTTTGAAACCCATTTTTAAGGTCAATATTATTCGCCCCCTTAAACAATAAATATATGTGATTGTCTGTGGAAGAATCTACTATTATACAATGACTTGCCTAATTATCCTAATTAAGTCTTTGAATGACACTTTGAATCTGCATGCTTGTATTTTGAAAATAGTCTAATATTGTGTGCTGTCATCATAGCAAAGATGAAAGAAATCAGTTATTAGAAATGAGTTATTAACACTATTATGTTCAGAAATAAGCTGAAAAATGAAACAGAAATTGGGGGAAAAGGGTCGCTAATATTCAGGAGGGCTAATAATTCTGACTTCAACTGCATATACCAGTTATTTTCCACCCTGCAAAGGAAAGAGAAATAAATGTAATAGAATAAGAATATGAAACAAGCATCTTCACTGTAAGACTTCAGCTACAGCAGTCCTTCAGTAAAGAGCAGTGAGGGATTTTCTCATTTTGTTGTTTGATTAATAATCATAAAAACAGGCGGCAGCAGGAACATTACGCACTGTCACTTTAATGGTTTCTCTTTCACGTCTTTTGATTCTCAACATGTATGTTTATTACACAAATGAGGGTTAATAAGAAGAATCACTAAACACTGCGTTTTGACACCTATTTGAGCATTAAAGCGTTCACGTTAAGATGACTTTAGATGTGTGTACTCTCCTCATCTCAGTGTGCGAATGAGACCGAATGCTGAATGCGCGCCGCACACACACACACAAGCATGCGGTCTTTCACGCTGTTAAGTTAATAATCGTATATCTCGATTAATGGCTTTTCATAATCATTAGAAGATAAAATCGGATTTGATTAATCGCACAGCCCTAGTATGAGTAAGATTTCTTATGTTTTTGTTGTTGTTGTTTTTTTAAGGACAACAATATCTCCCGCAGAAAAGATCTCCAAAGAAATTGCTATAAAAATCAGTGTTTTTGAAACAAATGAAGACAGCAGGAGTCCATAATTAATTTGAGTTATTCAGCCTGACATGTTCACTGCTCCAAAACATTATAAAGGTTTCCCAAATTAAAATATATTGTTTAAAAGGGAATTGTTTTTAATTCAGACATTTAAATAGAATATATTTTAGAGCAGTAAATCACAATACTGTGATATAATAACCAAGCTTCTCATACCATCAGAATCTTGTCCCTGCCCACGCCTAGTGTCGTCTTATTAATGACCTTTCACAGTTTCCATGTGAGTGTAAATATGCATTGAGGAGTCTCAATATTCTTCTCATTCATTTGTTTAAAATGACAATAGTAGATAGATTATGTGCAAACTCTGCTACTGTCATACTTACGTCAATTTCCCATTCGCTTGTTAAAACAATAACACTATCAACATGCATACAACTGTGTTTTAGACATGCCCTGTGGTGTCTGCTCTGAGGTTAGCATGTGAAGCTAAACCACAAATGCTGGAAAATTACTCTGTCATGGTCCACTCTGTTATTGTTATGATCAACTCTGTTACTGGTACAGTACACTCTGTTAAGGCCAATTGCTAGTGGTACAGTCCACTCTGTTACGGTTACAATCCACTCTGTTATGGTCCACTGCTAAAGGTACGGTCTACTCTATTACTGTTACGATCCACTCTGTTATGGTCCATTGATATGGTCAAGTCTGTTATGGTCCATTGGTATGGTCAAGTCTGTTATGGTCCATTGGTATGGTCAAGTCTGTTATGGTCCATTGGTATGGTCAACTCTGTTATGGTCCATTGGTATGGTCAAGTCTGTTATGGTCCATTGGTATGGTCAAGTCTGTTATGGTCCATTGGTATGGTCAACTCTGTTATGGTCCATTGTAACTGGTATAGTCCACTCTGTTACGGTTAAATCTGTTACTGTTATGATCAACTCAGTTACTGGTACGGTACACTCTGTTATTGTCAATTGCCACTGATACAGTAAACTCTCTTATGGTCCATTGCTAGTGGTACAGTCCACTCTATTACTGTTGCAATCCACTCTGTTATGGTCTATTCTATTACTGTTTTATTACATTTATGGTCCACTCTGTTATGGTCCATTGTTACTGGTATAGTCCACTCTGCTATGGTCATTTCTTTCACTGTTACTGTCAACTCTGTTACAGTCCATTGGTATGGTCGACTCTGTTATGGTCCATTGTTACTGGTATGGTCAACTCAGTTATGGCCCATCGTTACGGCAACAGAACCAATAGTTCCCCACCATGTTACATTAATAATGGGTTTAGTGTACCATTTAATGTATAAATAGTTTCTGCATTTGTTGTATATTATTAAATAAATTCAAGGAAAATGAATTGAACATCTGGAATGAGTCTCAGACTGCATGATCCACAGCTAAATGCATGCAAGTCAATAAAAGCATGTCACTAGTAAAGAGTCTCTGTAATAGTTGATCAACTCTTGCTTTTGCTCACGAACACTTAAATAAAGATTTGAGCTGATCTGACGTTTTTGCACGCAAACACACAAGTGAACATATTCGACCTTCATATTCTACTAATGTAGTTGAACATTTTGAATCGGCATGTTTCAGGAGTGTTTGGAGTAATCTGAAGCTCTCATGTTTTCCAGCGTTTGCAGAATGAGCCTGATATCTAGAGTCGATTCTGAGAAACCAGCAGATAAACGTCACTCGTCTAGTCCTCGGTGCAGGTACCAGCTTCAATATTCACCGTTCAGCTGACGCCACTGTTTCCTAACGCTTTTCAACAAACACAAAGTACACACAGCAGGTTTAACAACAAACAGGCTACATATAACGACATATATTCAAAATAAAGTAGCGCAAACGCAAAAGCTCCTATTCTCCGTCCTTTCACCACGATTAAATGAATGAATACTACAGACACATAGATCTCAAAAAATGTTGAAGGGATTGTGGAGACAACGTTTAAATAAATAATAATATTTATGTTACTCATTTATAAATAGAAATGTTTTTTTAATGTAGATGTTTTCAGATTAAAAAATAAATAAAAATAAAAAAAGTTACTATTTCTATTTCTCATCTCGCGCGCATGGACCTGCTTGGACAACACTGGAATACATCACATCTGGCCAGCTGGTCGCATACGGTCAAGTAGCTCAGATCCGCAGCTTAGATCAGAATTTTCTGCGTACAGAGATGATCGGAACTCCACGCAGCTCCCGAACTACTCTTTATTGGAAATGAACGAATTCAGGTGTGTTGCTTGTTGTGTGCAGTGGAAAGGCAGCTTTAGACTCTTAGTTCATGTGTAAATACCAAAATAATGATAGGAATAATGTGCATGAACCGTGTGGTGCTTTCTGGTAATTCTGGAGCGAGTCTAACAGGTTTATTAGTTTTATTGATTTGTGTCAGCATGCAGACGATTTACAGTTCAATTCTACAATGTCTGACCTTTTTTTGGGCTTTCGATTCAGAAGAGATGTGTAAAACTGCTCACAACATGAATTGCTAACCTCAACACGAACAATGTGCACTAACAAAATAACATTTCATTTAGTGCAAACTTTGAATAAGCTAGCGGGTCGTCCAGAGATATTTAGATGTAAACACTGGTTTGAAAACTGATCGATCTATTTTTCTCCATCATTGACGCACAGTTTGTTTGTGGTATTTAAAGATGATCCGGCTCTGTTTACAAGAGCAACATGAGGGTAATACTTTAATTTAAGGGTAGAGAGATGTTTTTTGTTGTACTTTCATCCAGATATCCTGATATTCACACTGTTATCAGCCGCTCTGCAGACTGGAGATGTAAAGCAGGTGCCGTCTTTTCCTGATTTTCCCTTTTATGGCCATTTTAAGTGATCCGGCTTTATTAAAAGCTGCCAGTAAACTCCGGGGAATGCCAAATATGGCAATTACAGTGTGTCAGAGTTATAAAGTGCTGCAGTGTTTCTGTTTCACTACAGTAATGAGACACCAGCAGTGTAAGAACAGGAGACACGACAACAAAGAGCTTCACGTCACTCCCAAAACAGCCCCAAAACGTACACATCTCCACCGCTTTGTTCCATCTCACAGAAACCGAGATGTCTCCGCTTACTCATTTAATATTATTTTATCCAGCAG